AGCAAAAACAATTATGATTCCATTTAAACCCTAGGAAGGTTTGATGAGATGCACAAACAGGCACATGATAAAACCCATCCTTGAGATCAATCGTAATTAACTGGTCCTCACTCTTCACTAATGAATAAACATCAATTTTCTCGTTAGAAAACTTGGGAGCGTCAATGTAAGAATTAACAACAAGAAGATCAATAATAAGTCTCCACTTATTTTTGCCCTTCTTCGGTACCACATTCAGTGGAGAGACAACCCTAGGTTTAAAAGCACATCTGGCAATAATACCTTTCTGAAGCAAGTTCTTAATCTCACTATTCAAAAAGTTTTTTGATCACTTGAAAAATTTCTGTCAGGCAATTCAATCACCGGTGGGTCAGTTGTAAACGGTAGTGTAACACCACATTGAAGCCAACTAATAACAGTAGGAGACGCACCTATTTCTTGCCATTTGGAATAGTTAGAAAGTTAGAGCCAGCTGGTCCAAGATTGCTGGATCCACACTCTCATTCTTGTGAAGGTCGCTTTTTGCTAGCTGAAGCACTTTCAGAACTGTTTCTAGGTAGCGACTGCTCTTTTGTAGCAGAAAGTAAAGTGCCCTCTCAGTTTTATTATTGGTACCTGTTGGGGCCCTCACACAGCCTGAGTGAAGAGTCCAGTTGTACTCGTGAGACGGTAGCCTTTACCGCGCTGAATTCCTTTTGGATGTCTTCTTTACTGATGGCGGCCGCACCGGTGTCAGTGGCTTGTGTGTGTGCCTGATTATCACAGGCGCAATCGGGCTTGTCGTGTTGTGTCGTTTCAACCACTAGTACAGGCAATATAAGGTTTGACTTCAAACAAATTGCAACAGAATTTTTTTTTAATTTCTCATACTAGGTAGATTTCTATAAGGTCCCTAAAATGACATACTAAAAGTCTTTAAAAATCCAGGTGGTGGAAATATGCCTAATTTATGTTAGGACTTTTGCATTGATTTGGTCATATTTCTCATACTAGGTAGATTTTGGAGGTACTTTAAAAGACAGTTTTAGTCCTTTTACATTGATATTACCATTATTCTAGTCCTAGGTAAATTTCAAGATCACTATGTTTCCGAAATTTTCCAAATGCCGTATAATTTGCATAAATGCCGTATATCAATTTGCCTAAATTAAAGTTAAAATAATGGATGCCATGTGTGGACATGTACCAAATGAATTTTCCCTCTAAATTTGGACTCGAATGTCGTACGAAGTCAATTTCGGTGGCAAACCCCATACATTTGATACCTATAATCTTAATGACCTATTGCTGATGATGTATCCCAGATGGATGGCAGCCATCTTGGATTAGTCAAAATAGCTGCCATCTTGGATTTCATTTATAATAACATTGCACCTGCCCCCCCCCCCCCCAGTGAATGCATTATTGCCCTGTCAACTCGGGTACAAGCGCTGTGAGAAATGAAAATAGGGGTCCGCTCATGAGTCCGACGCCTCATAGGTCCGACAGAATCGCATCCCCTAACCAAATAAAGGCCCATAAGTCCGACGCCTCATAGGTCCGACAGAATCGCATCCCCTAAGAAAATAAAGGCCCATAAGTCCGACGCCTCATAGGTCCGACGCCTCATAAGTCCGACGCCTCATAGGTCCGACGCCTCATAGCTCCGACAGTTTTGTATGTCCGACAAATTAAACGCCTCGTTTTTCCGTTGTCGGACTTATGAGGCGTCGGACTTATGAGGCGTCGGACCTATGAGGCGGAATAAATAAATGTTATGCCTCATAAGTCCGACGCCTCATAAGTCCGAAATTTTGGACATATGAGGCGTCGGACCTATGAGGCGTCGGACTTATGATACGGCCCCTGCAAACACAGGGCGTCGCCTACCAATGTTAATTTTAATGGAGGGTGTTGACAGAAAATTGTCGACAGGCCGTCTGTACTGGAAGCTAGCCCGGGGTGGACACCACCCAACTTTTGGGGCATGTCGATCAGTGCCCCCAAAAGTTGGATGGCGTCTACCCCCGGGCCGCACTATTCAAAGCGAACGATCTTCAAACAATTATGGGAAGATAGGTTGCGCCATTCGTCAAAGCATATATTGGACAGGACGACAATTTTGCCAAAATTTATGTCACCCCTACCCTTCTCTAGTGGTACTTGTGTGTACTCAAACCAAAGTATATTTACCGACAGGACGACAATTTTTCCGACAAAACCAATTGATGTGGGTTCTCACACCCCTTCACACATGCTCAAATTTGTATCCTTGTGGAGACATTTCCTTGTTCTCGTGTAGTACAGTTTTCGAGTTTGAAAGTGAAGTTCCAAAATGCTCTTATTTTAACCAGAATTAATTTCCTTGGCTGAAATTCGGACTTAATATCCCTTTTCTAAAACTCTTCCATTTGCGACAAATCAACCCACCTTGGAAATTTCTAGTTTTTGGGTAAAATCCATATATCTACTTCGTGAAAACCTTGTGGAGACCTATTCATCTATAGAAATTGCCCTGTGGAGAACTATACAATCTTTTGTTCCCTATTGTGAAAATGTCTCCACAAGGATGCAAATTTGCGCTCACTAGTGGCACTCGTGTATATATACACAAACTCCAAAACTAAAGTATATTTGCCGACAGGACGATAGCTTTGCCGACAAACCGATTGATTGGGTGGAGGGGGCCAACACCCCTTCTCTAGCGACATACGTGAGTACAATTAAACCAAAGATGGGTGATGGGACTTTTCACTTCCCATGGTCACTTCCACGGTGTATCAATACAAATGTCTTCCCAACATGACTGCCCCATTTTTTTTTTCGTTAGAAAAGAACAGAAGAGACTTGAAATGAAGGGACACACCTGTGTGATTCTCTTGATGTGCCTCAGCTGTGTATGTGCGACGGCACTTCAAGGTATGTACATGTTCATGTGATTGTAAGATAGACCCTATGTAAGACTTAAAGTGGGACAGATAGGGAAAATATTTGAGGGAATTGTGCCTTTGATGACACGAGCCTGGCATTTGACACACAGTCTTTTTGACCCTGCCTTTATCCTCTAACTGCGCTTTGTCTATACGATTGGGAATTAAACTATTCGCAAACACATGTATTTCCTCGTATAACGGCAGAAATGAGGAATAATACTAGTCTTGGTTAAGATGTAAAGACTGGTAGAGGTAGCAAAAATTGTATTGTGTTGTAGCTTGTTTTAAGCATGCCATTACACAAAAACAGACGAATTGTTTATACTTCTAAGCATCAAAACACATTAAATGAGTAATAATTGCTTACGAGTATAGAACAGCCATACCATAAATATTCAAAGGACGGAGCAATATTATGTATTATATTAAATAACATTAAAGGTACAATTCAAGTTTGCGTTTACAAAATATATGACGAAAATCTTAGAGGAAACATAACAATAACATTACACAACTATAACATTTGTATGTCTATCCACTTTTTGACTAGGTTTGATTTCACTTGTTGTTTACTTTTCTCAGAGAAATCGGCCAAAGATGAGTTGCTTCTGGAATACCTGCGGGAATACCTGACCGAGTGTAGGTTTGCGTGATTGTATCTGTCATCTTTACTAATCTCACTTATAAGCATAGAGCTATATTAAATTACTAGAGTGCTAACTCCTTATTCTTGCGCGCGTGAAGCCGCTCTGAGCGCAGACATTTTGAATTTATGTGCGTGTTTGTAGAACACAATCAAAATAGATGGATTGAATTTTAAATGTGTACTCTAAAAATGCAACGCGCAAGTAGAAGATACGCAAATAACTTAAGCGCGTCATGACGGTTCAAAAAACGTCACGGCAAAAAGCATCTGCAGCGGAGGGACGAGCATACGTTGCGCTGTTTGCGTAGAGCAAAATGAAACGCTCATTTGCTGATCGTGCGTTTCCGTTTTGGGCGTATCGGCTTCGATGACACACCGGATGGAATACAAACGCATTAACGCCCTGGTTACCGTGCGCACGACGCTTGCGGTGTTAATATGGAGGTCTTCTGAAAAAAAGTTCGACTACAAACAGAAGAGGGACAAACAGGACGTTCAAGGTGGGAGGTCGATGCTCGACTATCAGCCTGCACGTATGCAGTATACTGTTCCTCCCTGGGGATCTCGAAAGTGGTCAAAATGTGCCATCTACTTACATGTACAAAGCCCATTACCATTAGTGTTTCTTTAGCATTTGGTACTGCATCCCCAATACATTCTTTGGAGTTCAGGGTTAAAGAAGCATGTTTCCTGGCTCTTATTTTTTTTAATTTAGTGAAAATTGTACTTCATCCCATTGTTAGGCATTTTGCAACCCACTAAAAAAGGGCGTTTTGCCTAAATTAAACACTCCCTGACAAATTGTCTAGCAGCTAATAATTCAAGATTTGTGAAGAAATAATTAAAATAACTAAATGTCGCTTTTGGACGAAATCTCATTCAAAAAAATGAATAGGTTTTGCATTTAATTTTGACAAAATAAGCAAATAAAAGTCTGCTATACCTGTTTTCTTACTGCTTTAACAAAAGGACATCTCTTCGTGGAGAGTGAGCGTGCGACTATTAAGAGATTCACAACAAAAATATCAGATGAAGCCAAACTGCCAAACACACTAATGTGTCACATGGTCACACGGACCTACCTTGATTTGTCATGGCCAAATTGCCAAACTTGTGCAAATATTTGAAAATAGAGTAAACTTTTAAAATATGCAATTCTTTGCCATGCGGAGTTAGTGTGTGTTCTTGGTTAATTAAGCACACCCTTAAAGGTATCCTTAAGCAGTGTAAAGACGATGGACAACATTAAACAAAAGTTACAAACAAAACAATCCCCCTTCCTTCCTGAAAGTCTGTGAAATGTTCACGAAAAATAGCACATTCATTTGTATAATTTCAGGCAGTTGTAGTTGGAAGTAGTCTCTACTATTTCAGACATTGACATTTGCTTGTAGTAATTTAAATCTTCGGAATAGTTTGGTACAGTCCAACTCTGAAACGCCATGTCTGGAAAAGGTACGTGTTAACCCATGCATCCCTGTACCGCGTCAGTCTGCAGAAAACAACTGCTATTCTTTGTAAGGTACTGCCCAAACCACGGAAAGTTCTTTTTATTATCATTTTCAGCAGGGAATCTTCTTAAATGTAGTATAATGTAATACAAGCGTTAAAGTTAATTCTGTCTCTCCTTGTCGGAGTGCAGTTAAGAGGGGAGATGAACCAGAAGCCGTGCCAGCTCAGAGGGGTACTGAAGAGCCTACCCGCGACTACCCACCGCCCAAACAAATGGACTTGCAGACGCTTCAAGAACTTGACGCCGATGATGAAAGTCTGGTCAAGTACAAGCAAGCTCTACTGGGTAGCACTGCAGATTTTTTAGGTACTGTGCAAATACATTCAAACAAAAAAAGAAGAACTAGACAAAGTCTATATCTGTCTAAGAACAGAATATATAGGACCTTTCAGTGTTATGATTTTGTTACTGGTTTATGCTTTTCTGTGGAAGTGTATATGCGTGTAAATGATCGAAATATAAAAAGAAAGTCATGTTTTGGATGACATTATAACGAGTCACAACTTTCTAACACAATTGGGCTGATAGTTGTGACTATCAATTTTGAGTTGATCATGTTGTGTTCGTGAGATATGAATATAATCTTCAAAATTTCAAAGATCTGAATAAAATCACATTATGACGTCATAATAATCTCATTTAAATTTTCGTCTATAACACATCCCTGTCCATGTACCTTCAAGATTTCAACCCAATCGAACGATATAAAACTTAAAATCTTCTTTAAGATGACGTCACCTGTTTGGTTTATGTTAATTCGAAAGCGCCCGCCTATGTGCGGCTGTGCGCTATATCTCTTTTGTTGCTGGCACAAAATGGATAAGCCAGTTAAATACGTATACTGAACATGTGCTTTAGATGACCTTTTTAATTCCTTAAATTTTAGATGAAGGCGGACAAAATGTACTATTGAAGGCCATGGTATTTGCTCCAGTAGACCACGAGGAAACTGTTCTGAATCTGACAGGTAAACGAAAACACAGGGCAGTTCCACAGTTATATTTAGAGGGGGTCTTTCGTAAATTCTGTGCTGTCATTCTATAAATTCAAAGCATTTAGGGTTGATTTTTCGGGGACGTCTCTACAGTCCGAAGTCCCATTGGTCCGAAGTCCTATTGGTCCGAAGTCCCATTGGTCCGAAGTCCCATTGGTCTATACGTTCCATTGGTATAAACGTTCCATTGGTCCGACGTCCCATTGGTCCGAAGTACCATTGGTCCGAAGTCCCATTGGTCCGAAGTCCTATTGGTCCGACGCCCCATAGGATTAGGGTTAGGGTTAGAGTCAGTCAACCTGAACAAGTGGAACTACACAGTATTGTGACGAAACAGGCCCAGGGGTACATGTATATGAAGACTTGTGTAGGAGTCTAAGTCCTAGGAATTATTTATGCGTGTGATCTAGGACATTTGGTGCGTGCTTATAATGCCAAAGTGCGCGTGGACCAATCAGCAATAAATTGGTCTGCGTGATCAGGAGATTAATAATTCATGGTGTACAGTGACTAATCAGCAACGCGTATTGTGAAGGCTGTTCGCGAATTAGCATGCTTTAGCGTGGGGTCTTGAGATCATCTCGTGAGTTCGCAAGATGGCGTCAATGCAGTAGGAACGCGTTCTGAGGCTGTTGCCAAGTTGCAAGAAGCCAAGCTTCGGGGTTCAGGGACGAGTCAAGTTAGCAGTAAGCTAAGTGTTATCTAATATATCATTGAGTGAAGTTGTAGCTCAAGGTCTGTTATTCAGTGTCGACTGTCTAAGATAATTGGGGACAAAGATTTAGATGGAATCTAGTAGGGAAATTAAGACTGATTATTGTGTCTTGATTAAATGCTAGAACAAAAGGACTAGGAGTTGTAGAACTTGGTTTGAGAGGCTAGTGAGACTGAGATTCGGTGGTAGATTGCTTGTCGTGGGTTGGACACCATTCGGTGGGGTTTTACGACTGAGGCAATCATTGCCGTAATCATTGGATTAGCTTGCCTAACGAGTTTACTCTTTGCCGTGTTCTGAGCACTTGTGAGGGTTACCTGTTTCATGTGAGATTTACTGCACGTAAGGTTTATATAGTATAACTCACTGTGAGGGTTACTGGTTTTCTGTGAGGGTTAATTATTAGGACCGCTCAGATCGTGTGAGGGTTATTTGGATTACATAGTACAGCCTGCTCTGACGATAAATCGTGTTGAGGGTTACCTTTCTTGTGCGAGGGCTATATGTTCATTGGGCTCATAGTGTAAATTGGTTTGAGGGTTACCTTTCCTCTGTGAGGGTTATTGGGACAACTCAATCTGTGTGAGGTATTGGAACTGTAATAATAACAGGGATTATACTTGTATAAGTTTATAATCATGTGGTGCAGTTGACCACGTGAGGGTTACCTAAGGCTAAGTTTACTACAAAGGGTGCAGTAACTGCAGTTGACCCTTGTTATAACTATTCTTGAATAAATCCTATTGATAATCGTCTTTGGAATAACTCGTCTATTTGAGGTTTACTCAGGTTCACCTTGAGGGTTACTAGGTTCACTGTGATGGTTACTTGAGTTAACTTTGAGGCCTATCGTTGCTACTTGTCTTGCTCTAATTACATTCAATGAATTACTCAATCACTAAACGGTGGTAAATTTCCACCAAACGAACAACTCCTAGGCTTAGTCCACCGTTCGTTAATTGTCCCCCCCCCCCTTTCGTATGGGTAGCCGCTCACACGTTCGTTAGGCTAATAGATATTTTTGTGGGATAATTGGTGTGGGTTGGAGTCCTGGGATAAAAAAGACCAGTCCCCTCGGGTTCCCGTCAACACCCGCCGGTTCCGTTACAAATGGTGTCAGGATCGGTTCCGCCACAGTATTCTGTTTCGGACCAATGGGACTTCGGACCAATGGGACTTCGGACCAATAGGACTTCGGACCAATGGGACTTCGGACCAATGGGACTTCGGACCAATGGGACTTCGGACCAATGGAACTTCGGACCAATGGGACTTCGGACCAATGGGACTTCGGACCAATGGGACTTCGGACCAATGGGACTTCGGACCCATGGTACTTCGGAATATTTTTCTCACAGAAAATCTTTTGAAATTAGGCGCACATTCTACAGAAAGGGCAACAAAACCAACTTCTGTTGGTCTGGCAATATTTTTTGTCATTAGTAGGCATAACTCACGCTACCAGAAAAGGACAAGGCAAAACAATTATGAAAGTTGCACCACACTGCCCCATGAACGGCGAAGTGGTTGTCGACTAAGTGGTTCTCGGCGAAGTGACCGACACCCGGGTGTCGGTCGGGTGTCGGGTGTCATGTGCAAGCTACCAGTTCAATTATCCCCCCCCCCAAAAAAAAAAAAAAAAAAAAAACTATCGTAAAGTTTCTAGAGGGATATTAATATTGGTAATTCACGTTATGGTAGGTATCTCACAATGCAGTCTGTCCACGTTGGTAAATATATAATATTTTGTTTGTAACTATATTCCCAAAATTGGTATAGCGAGGACACGAACGACAAATGCATTACAATGCGCCCTGAAAATCGCCACGTTTGCATAATCGTCAGTTTTGAAGACCGCCCCCATTGGAAGATGGTATACCAGCCCCCTCCCCCACCATTTTCTGATATTACGGATGCCAAAAAATGTCCGGAAAAAAGTGTCTACATTTCAGCATGGATGTGCGAGTGTCCCGTGTTGCCCCCCCCCCCCGACATCAACAAAAACAATACTAAAAGCCAACCCCCCAAAAGGCTATTCGCATTAAAAAAATGAACCTTACTTCTTTGCCTTAAAAAAAGAAACTCACATTACATTGACACTTTGTATGTGAAAAAGGTGCCTAAATAACTTCCTAACAGCCATCATTTTTTTAACAACCCTCCCCCTCCCCCCAAAAAATATTTAACAAAAATGCACTTAACCATATTCTCACTTCAGTCCCCCCTTAAAAAATAGTTGACCCGCAGGTGCCTGCTCAGACGTTTAACCCTAGTTACGCCACTGGTTAGGACTTAGCCTTGGCATGATCGCAACAAACAATTTTCTCGGATACTCGGGCACTCCCTGTGACCTATGGGTTCTATGTACAACAAATTCTAAGAGCTGCATTTTGATGGTTGAAAATATACAGTGTTTTTTTGGGGGGGATGGGTTGATTTTTTTTATGATTTTTTTTGCAGCAAAGTGTTCACAAAGGATTTGATAGCTCAGAATCGAACGATGTCTGCTATTAATTAACAGACTTTAAATTGGTCCATTTCATAAACAACAACAAATGCAAGTGATCCTATGTGGCTTTAAACTGAAGGTTGTCTTCTTTTGAAATTGTTTTGTTTTCCCAATTTTCACTTGCATTGTCACACTTTTTTCATCCTCTTTGCTTTGTTCAAAGGTGATCTTTCTCAATTGAAACATCAACCAATTGTGGTTAAGGAAGGCACCGAGTACAGGATTAAACTCAAATTCAGAGTGAGTTGATTCTAATTTATATTGTCAGTGCCTGCCTTTCAAGAATTGCATCATTGGAAATGCAACAGCCACATTATGGATCTCGCTATTGTGCGTAGCATGAAGATTAAAATCAAATTTAGGATTAATAAAATCCAATTCAAGGTGAGTAGATTCTATTATATCGGAGCTTGCGTTTGAAATATTGAATCATGGAAAACACACCAACCAGAAAATTTTGGGGATCATGTTCTTGCTAATGTGCACACCATGGGGCATGCTTGGAATTTTCTAAAAGGGAATATATACACCTTAATCATTTGCAACATAAACACAATAAAAATAATAGTCCAGGGCCCATGCGTCATGTGAAATCATTGCACCTGGTGTGCTGTCATTTTCAAGAAAAGTGGATTATTTTGTACTGCCCATCAGTGGAAAAAAATACTATTTTGGTTCAAATACTGCCCCAATTTAAAAGGTTTAATAAGTCCACATTTTGTTTGAAGTTACACATCCGTGAACGGGTGGAGACCAGTTATTCAGTTCCCTGACCTGACAATTCCCCGTCCTCTATAAATTGGTCTGTTTCGTCTGAAGTAAGGTCAGGCAACTAGACTACAAGAACAGCTTTCGGTTTTTTTTTCTTTCAGCATCTGCATGTATAAACACAAACTTTAACAGGTCAGTTCAATGACGATATTTGCTGCAATATACTCCGCAAAACTACATCCTTTCTGAAAAGTACAGCAAAAGCAAAAGTTGTGTATTTCCTTTAACTCCCAATGCCGAGATAACGCCCTTTACCTTTCAGGCGGCTTGGCTGCACTTGCCATGAATTAGCTGCTTTGCCATCAAATAGGCATCAAATGGTCATCAAAAGGCATCACATTCTTTTAGGCATCATTGGACATCAAAAGAGTAGCAATTTGAGCAAAGTTTATAAAGAAAAACATTGAAGGCGTACATTAATCAGTCATCAAGAAACATATAATTGATGTAAACATTATGACTGCTGATATTAATCTGAAGCTCATGGCATTGTTTAGGCATCAATAGGAGGTATCGGGAAGGCATCAGAAGTCATCACTGAGCATCAGGCATCACAGGCAGGCATCAAACGGGCATCAAACGAGCATCAAACGGGCATCAAACAGACATCGATCAGAAGTCATCACTGACTGTCAGGCATCAAAGGGCATCAAAGAGGCATCAGGGAGGGCATCATTAGTCATGACTGACCATCGAGCACTGAGGAATAAAGAGGCATCATAAAACATGACTGGCCTTCGAGCATTGAGGCATCAACGAGGCAGCAGCAAGGCATCAAAATTAAGTCATCACTAGCCATCAGGCACCAAAGGGGCATCAAAGAGGCTTCAGGAAATCATTGAAAGTTATGACTGAACATCGAGGATTTAAGGCATCAAAGAGGCATCGATCAGCAAGGAATCAGAATTAAGTCATCACTTGCCATCAGGCATCAAAGGTGTATCAACGAGGCACCAGAAAGGCAGCACAAAGGCAGTAGAAGTCATTACTAACCATCGAGCGTTGAGTCATCAATGAGGCATCAGCAAGGCATCAGAAGTATGTCATCACTAACAATCAGGCATCCAAGGGGCATCAATTAAAGAGGAACCAGGTATTAGAAGTTATGACTGACAATCGAGCATTGACGCATCAAAGAGGCATCAGCAACACAATAGCATTAAGTCATCACTAGCCATCAGGCATCGAAGCGGCATCAATGAAGCACCAGGAAGGCATTCGGTGGTCATGACAGACCATCAGGCATCAGCAAGGCATCACGAAGGCATCATAAGTTATGACTGACCATCGAGCATTGAGGCATCAAAGAGGCATCACCAAGGCATCAGAATTAAGTCATCACTAGCCATCAGGCATCAAAGAAGCACCAGGAAGGCATTAGAAGCTACGACTGACCATCGAACATTGAGACATCCAAGAGGCATCAGCAAGGCAACGAAATTAAGTCATAACTAGACTTATGTTTGTGGACAAACACAGGGCTGTTTCGGTAACTTTTTGTGACATGTGACATGTAAAGTAAAGTTCCATCCAGGTAGGATGTGTAGTTCTGTTTATACTAAATGGTGGCATATAATATGTGATTACATTCTCATAGGGCTTTGAATTGCATATGATACGTGATTACATTGCATATAATATGTGATCACATTCTCATAGGGCTTTGAATTATGACACATGTCACGTGATGACGTCATGATGACGTCACATCAATTTTCATCTATATTAATTGTTCTGTAAATAATAATTAAGGCAGAGCATACATCGTTGAAAGCAAGTTCACTATCGATTCTCGAAAAAGTCATCTTCAGGTTTGTCACGGTTGATTTAAGATTTATTTTCAAAGATTAAATCTATTTATCTTAAACGTGACGTCACGTGACCCATGATGACGTCATCATGATGCCACTTCATTTTTCATCTATAACACATCCCGTTCTAGGCACATACCAACTTTCAACCCAATCGGACCTGTCGTTCTGTAGATATATGCCTTCAAAGCATATGACGTCACTTGTCACGTGATGACGTCATCATGACGTCACTTACATTTTCATCTATAACACATCCAGGTTTAGGTACGCACCAAGCTTCAACCCAATCAGACCTGTCGTTATGATGATGACTTCTGCACTCAGGCGTGCGGTCCGAACAGAATAGATTTAATAGTAAGGTTTTTCGTGATTCTTGAATTGTTGTCTTTGGGTTTTTTTGGGTCTGTATCCAATAAAGGTCCAACGTCAGATTGTCTCTGGACTGCGGTTTGTTTACGCTGTTTCCAGAAAGGGCATCAGAGGTGAGTGAATGTACGGTGTTGCATTTTGATTTTAGTCACACAATATCCAATCCAGTCCCAAGTCCTTTCACAAGCTGTTGAAATGACCTCTGACTAATGCATTCTTTTGTTATTAGTCATCCTCTACTACTTATGACCAGATTTTTAAAATGTATTTGTGATTTTTTGTGAATGGACTTGTAATGTACTGAACTTGAATAGAACACTGCATGGATGCGCCTTTTTGTGAGAAAACACCCGTAGTACAGGTTAACCATCTGGCACAATTTTTCTGGACCCCCCTCCAAAAAAAGTCTCAATGTGACGCGACATGGTGCCCTAATTAATAGCTGCCTTTTCTTTGTTTGTGCTGAGGAACCATCGCGGTTAAGGGTATTGCTTAGGGATGCAAAATCTATGATCACTTGTAAATCTACTTTAATTAATGATGAAAATGGACAGAACAATAAAGGGGGGAAGGAAATTTCTAGAAATGATTGAATTTTAAGTTCTAAATAGGCTAGAATATGGGCACTTTTTTGGAGACGGGGAGGGGGGGGGGCTGGGGGCATGACCTCCGCCCCCCCCCCTTCCGACTGCAAAAAAGAAGTGATGCCAGAACCACCACTGATCAAAACAAATTATGAAATGAAGAATTTAACCCAAATACAGATAAAACTCATCATCATACCAAAGTATTGCTTTCACACATAGCTACAGTCAGTGATGCACTAAGACAAAGTAACGCCAGGCAGAGTGCTCAGCAGATCAACGGGATGTAGTGAGAGACTGTAGCATTTAGATTAAGGATGAAAATAGCGTGGCGAAACCGTTCCCGCTTACACTTCTAATACCATTTGTGGCGGAACCGGCGGCTTGGCGGAACCCAGGTGGACTGGTCTTATTTATTTCAGGACTCAACCAACACCTATTATCCCATAAAAAAATATTTATTGGCCTCGCGCAAGGATGACCTCAATTACCCTTGTTATTGCCTGAACATCCTTTTATCCTTGTCAGTATGTTGCAAATTCAAACTTGTTGAGAAATTTATTATCCGCTCCGTTCGCAAGTACCCCGTCATCAGCAAAGACCATACAGTTTGGGGTGACCAACCGACGCCATCTTGCCTGACTGCAATTTTGCCGCAAAGCGCAGCCACTGCGTTCCGTGTACATAGTTCAATTGATCCTGATTTCATCAAACTCTTCGTAACTTAAGATGCATCGGAGCGCTGCGACGCGTCGTATCCCTACGATGCATCGCAGCTACGACGCGTCCTGCGATCCATTTCACAAAACACGTCGTTAGTGCGACGCGTCGCATGTGTATTTATAGCACAACTCGGTGACTGTTTTATGTATTCAGTAGTCAGCGTACAGTAAATAGTCGTCTGATATTCAACAAAGAGTCGTCGGATCTCAGCTCGATATTTGTTAAAGCTTAAAACAAAATGGCGGTCGTGAGATGCAATTTTGAAGGAAAACAAGCTGTAAGTGGACTGTATAGCTACTTTGAAATTTCAAATCAATATTCCAGTCTAATTCATATTTATTCAATGAATTTTCTATTTACAATTTTACACACATTGCCTCAGTATTATAATCTACTTTATGTAATGTTTTTGGCATAAAACTGGCTAAAAAAAGGACTCTTCTTATTTTGCGATGACTACTAGACACGTCGTAATTTGCGACGTGTTTTAAGCTGTTGTCAAGGAACTTACGACCATCCCCAAGAACACATCACGACAGGTGATCGACAAATGGAAAATAACAAACCTATAAGCTTGCATACTTAAGCAGGGCTCGAAAGGTTCACGGCTGGTCAGTTGGACATTGCAGTCAGGCAGTCCAATTAATCATTTTCAGTCGAGCTGGTAATAATACTGGTCAGTCGGTCGGTCGGTTGGCTGGCTCTTCAAATCCAGGAAATGCAAATAACATGTACAGTTTGACTCAAAAAAAAAGCGGAACGCCAACCCCCAAAAACATATTTCATATTTTAAATAGTATGTAGCACCGAAACTAATAATGACTGGAAAGCTTGTTTCATAGAAGGCACTTTTAGATTTAAAAAAATTGCTCAAACATTTTTCAAAGAATATTACCATTTAAATACGGTGACCATAAAACTTAAAATGCGATTTCAAGAATAGTCGTCACATTTGTCTACAAACATCATCAGCGATAAAACCTAATTTTAAAACTTTAAAATATTTCACAAGGTTCTTTTGAAGGCCCGTCTTCTTTGTTTTATTTTAAAGTGGATTGTAGAAGTGATATTGTTTGCCTAAGCAGGGTTGTTAGTAAAGATATTATGTACTAAAATTGTTGACAGTTGTTAAAACAAGTTTTCCGTGTCATTATCTTTGTTGTTCCAAACAGGACACAATATATTGCTCTCTTTTTTTGGACGAAACGCTTTTTAGGGTCATTGCGTTTAAATGGTGATATAGGCCTATTCTTCGAACGGATTATGCAATTTCATTTTTTTTTTTTTTTTATCTAAAAGCAGTTTCTGAAATTGGCTTTCCAGTCATTATTATTTTCGGTGCTACACATTTTTACTATATATATTGGGGGGGGTGGATTCCGCTTTTTTGGACTCACCCTGCATAAGCCAGAGTTGTAATGAGTCACTAATTTTAGTGACTCGAGTCGAGTCGAGTCATTTGAAAGAAGTGACTCGAGTCGAGTCAAGTCATTAGGTCAAGACGGTCGAATTGAGTCGAGTCGAGTCACAGTGTGTGGTCGAGTCGAGTCAAAGTATTTAGCTCGAGTCACAGATATTTGAGCACTGCATACACTATACAATAAATAAACACAAGAGAGAAGTCATTTTTTGGCTTTTTAATTTTTACATTCGGGCTACTACTAAGTGGGTGCCAGCTGATCGTCATTCAACTAATGGGGACACTGATCGAACCACGTATGTATATGTATACATTATTCGCCAACGTCATTGCAAATATTTTTCGCAAAGTTTTGCTTATATTTTTGGGACTCGAGTCTCAATAGCCTTCCTCGAGTCGAGTCGAGTCATTCTGATGAGGGACTCGAGTCGAGTCGAGTAATTTGCTCGCAAGGACTCGAGTCGAGTCGAGTCATTTGCCCTTAGGGACTCGAGTTGAGTCGGGTCACCAAAATATGTGACTCGATTCGGACTCGAGTCGAGTCATTGACTCGAGTCATTACAACTCTGGTATAACCTCAATCAACCACTTGTTCTTTGCAGTGGACAACGCAAATTCTATGGTTGGGAGTTACGGACCCAAAACGGAAGAGCAGATCTTCCAGACTCCTGTGGATGAGTTACCCGCGGGTATGATAAGCCGTGGTGTCTACATTGTCAAGGGTAAATTCTTAGACGATGACAAGAATATCTACTTGGAGTGGGAGTGGAGTTACTCCGTTAAGAAAGATTGGGAATAAGATTAGAGTGATGATTTCCTACAAAGGAAATTGGTATATTGGAAGTGCGGTTTACTGTAGATGATGCTGTTGGTTTTTGAGGGGTACATCATGAATGTGAAATTCTTAATAGAATTTATTTATCATGGTTCAGCAAGTATAGGGATTATGTTAGTTAAATGTATGCCACAACATATACAATGAACATGTAATTGATTTTTTTCCCAAAGTGGCACTTTTTTTTGAAGGAATTAATTGTGGCATAAGTCATCAGCATTGCCAGTGATGACCTTTTTTAGTCTCTCAGAAAAAGGAACTGCATGTTTTCCCCAAAAAATGTGTACATGTATAGGCCTATGGATCCATCATCCATGTACAGAACAAAACAAATGACGTATATACTTGTTTTGTATGAACATTGCCTTTTCTCAAAGTTTATCAGAGCAACTTGTACAACTCTTTGTGGAAGTCTATAAAACAACGCATTTATTAGAAAATACATTTTGATGATGCTATTTAATGTAATCGCTTATTAAATTACTTTTGGGAATTAATGATACATGTTGGTTGTATAGCAGGCTTTGTTTTATCTTATTTTTATCTTTATTTTAGGCTGTAATTAGACTATTCTGCCATAGATATAGATATTTTCTTTTGTTATATTTTAATTGCTAAAGGTTTGGTTTAATATGTGGTTTTGCTTTAAGTGCATAATATAATGTTATATTTCCGCAATGATGTATGGCTTGTTTGCCATAGTAGTGACCTGGTGTCTTCTATGTTGTCATCTAATTAATGGAGATTTTGACCAAGCGCTTTGGGAACTTGGTAACATAAAGCCACCAGTATTACGACAGTTGCATGCCTACCATCCGACAAGCTATTTTTGTCAGCACTAGAATGTAGTTTCTTTAATGAAAAAATGAAATACATTACCTCATCAAATAACGATCAGCCCATGTTGGCATAAATCTCAAGATGAAGGCAAAAAACGAGGACCAAAATGACACGTTATTTGAAAGCATCTGTGTACTTTAACAATGTAGTAGTTTCCATTTTGGATTGGCGAAGCCCCCTATACCTTGGAAGTGGGCCAGAGGCATGCGTATTGATTTTTGTGAAGCCCCTTCAAAGAAGTCGTTTGTTAATGGTAATTGTCTATAAGCCATTTGCATTCTGCACACAAATGGTAATGTTATATATTTCACTAGGTTAGTTTTGAATCAATATCAGGTACAATGTAGAATCATTCCACATTGATACTTTGTCTTCCATGTCTATATAGAAAGCAATCTTGATTCTATAGTTTAGCATACTCAGGAACAAGTCGGTTAGGGTCGGTAATGAGTAGCAGTTCAACTTTCAGGGATGTTTTGTTTTGTTTGTTTACCTTGTGCTTCCCGTCTACGTCATTGAACTTTAACCAAGTTGAAAAAAGTCGAACATTCCATTTTCAAAGTGCTGACTCAGTATCAGTACGAAATCCAATCAACACCTGCAAAATGTAACGTTATCCAATGATATTTAAAAAGTACAAAAGTCTATGTTACACAAGGCTCTATACAGGGAAATATCACCATCGTGCGCTTAACAAAAACAATTTACAAAACTGTCATACTTTTTATATCAAGTTATCCATATTGGGCCTTTTAGTTTTGAAAATTATTTCAACTGGATTCAAGTTTTCTGTGCCTCTTCTGTTAGATTAGCCTATATGACTTAATTGGATGCAGTCGCAATTGACAAGAAAGTCAATGTCTACCTTATACTCGTAATCATGTTTCAGTTTGGTACAGGAATGGATAGGTAAATAAATAAATAATGCTTATATCTTTTTGTGAGAGAGTGTTTTAATTTGTTCCATATAAGGTCTGCAAACATCTGTTTAAAATCTGCTATTTGGGGACGCTAGTTTGGTGCACTAACAGCAACACCCCTCCCCTACATTATCGATGCTGATAGTGGCGGGTATAATTACGGTCTACCCTTCGAGAACTGACCCGCTTACCGTGGTCAACGTTGACCGTTGGCTTCGCGACCGTCGGACCGTTGGTCTGGCGAAATATTAAACGTTGGATATGTTGGTTCGACAATTCTTTTGGACGTTTGGCCATCAACGTTGGATTAACAAAAAACAAGTTGGCGCAACGTTATTTCGCCAACTTTGGGCGACGTATCCCCCCATCCTGCCAATTACGCTCATATATACGACGCATTGGAGTAACGTCGGCCCGACCAATTTTTGACGTTAGGCCAAATTCGAATACGTGCAAACTGTTTCGTCTGAACAATGTTGGAAGCCGACGTCAAATATTACTAATAACTTCTGAACAACAACGTTGGCAAACCAACTTTATACTAGTATGTAAACCGATCGTCAACGATGGCATATAATAATAGCAGGCCGACGTCGAATATTAGGCCTACAGACTTTTTACTAACTATATTGAACAACGTTGGCAGGCAAACCTCAAAATACAAACTGATCGTCAGTGTCGGCACAATTAACGTACGTTGGCAGGCTGTCCTCGAAACTGTTTACCGTAGTCACCGGCAGCTGCCAGCCGGCCAGCGTCATTACCGATCACCAAGTGTTAGCCAGAACGGGCAGGCCAGGCCGACGTCGGCAAAACGTTTGCATGCGACGTCTTCAGTTAACGTAAGTACAACGTTGTCAGGCCGACATCAAAACATATACACACCCGACCGATCGTCGACATCAAAATATATACACACCCGACAGATCGTCAAAGTCGGCAATAATATTACGCGGAACTAAAAACAGACCAGGGGTGTCAATCGCTTCTCAAAAGTTGGGGATATACCTTGATCAGAACTAATGCGAGCGCGAAGCGCGAAGCCCCTACAGCGTGGGGGGGGGGGGCAAGTGCCGCGAAAAATTTGGTTCTTGACACTCTGCGTTGTGCGATCTGAGGCAATTTCTGACAACTTAATTTTTTTTGTCTGCAAAAGATAATCGTTTAAACCACATTTTCGAGTTTGGAGTCATTGAATCAGCTATATTCTGTGCTATAGACGTGGGGTTCGGGGCAAGCGCTTAAAAGGGTCCTGTAGGTCCTGAAATCCCCGGAAAACTGTTTTGGGTCGTTTACTCATCCTAATTCGAACATCTTGTTCAAAAGAAAACAACCTCATGTCTTACCGTTCCCGAGAAAAGACGATAAAACCCCGGGTGTTTACAGCGGACCCTACGGAGTACACTCTAAAAAAGCATTAGTCAGTTTCGACTAGAAACCAGTGAAATTTGACTAGATATTCAGGGTCAGCTGGGTGCAACTGAAAATCAGGCAGTATAACTAGATACTTCCAGTCAGTATTATTGACTTTGGAAAAATAGTTATGCAAATAATTGAAATTGGAATCGAACCTACTTTTTCTAGTCATAGTATGAAACTTTGCATGTTTAATTACATTCCTAGTCAATTTTCAATAACTAGGAAAACCAGTCACTATTTTGACTAGGTAGTTTTTAGAGTGTAAGAATACGCTTTTCCTGTCGTTTGATCAATGTACTTAGTACGTTACACGTTGTGTGTGTCAATACAGCACCGTGCTCGCGAGCAGTGACCAATCACCAATGCACAAAATGAGGTTTCTATGGTCCGCAAAAGGCGAACACTTTTTTTTAACATTTAATATTGTGTCCCCCATCCTTCAAAAAGTAGGAGGACATGTCCCCCTGTCCCCCAAGGATTGACGCCCTTGATGCAGACTGTTGGCGTACCATTCCGACTTGTAAGTTTACACAACGTTGTCAGGCCGGGAAAAATCAAACAAACCATACCGTCACTAACGCCGCGTCGGCACAACATTGGCAGGCTGTCGTCGAATATACACTGTTTACCAACGACGGACCAACGATGTCGGGTCGACTTCAATGGACCGATATGTCGAATATGCCTTCTTTAATATGTTTACCAACGTCAGGTGTACACCGATCGCCAGCGTCGGCATATGCGCATATTACGTTTGCAAGCCGACTGCGACCGTTCCAACATTAACCGATTGGGCGAACGTATAAAAGTCGAAATAGCTGAAGAGGGAGGTGAGAATCTATATGTGCCCAGATACAAAGAGTAGAAATCTACGCGTCTGCCTTTTGAAAATACACAATTGCGGTGTTCATTGTTGCGTAATGATCCGCCTAGCACACGACTGTTTTGCACATTAGGCTGTGTTATGCAGCTTCCGAACAAACCAAACACACTGGGCTCATTATATCGACTTGTTTTTACCCATTAAGGTAAAGCAAATGGACCCAGTAATCTTCCTGGCGCGTTTGCTCACCTATAAAGATAACTTTTCTCAGTTTAAGGAAAATTCTAAGGTAACGAAATGGCCGAGTGGTTACGATTCGTCGTCCACGGTTAGCGGGGTCCCTGGTTCGAATCCCGCTGGTGTCTTTTTGGTTTTTAACGAATGAGTTCAATTATTCACTATAAGAGATTTAATTTCCCGTCGAAAAGTACCAACAGTACCTTAGCTTAATCGGTAAGCACTGCTGCTGGTACTGTCCGCGAGTTCCAGGTTGGCGCCTTCGTACAGGTTCAGGGCATGTGGTCCACTCGGAGGATCAGGGCTTAGGGGCCGCCCTGTTCCTCCCTTAGCTCTTTGCTTTTACATGGTGCCTGGCCCTCCGGGGTTATATGGATGGATAGGGAAGGAAGTGTGTATTGGTCGGGGACGCCGAGACCCCGGAAGAGAACTAAGGGATCGGCTGGGGCATTGTTATGGCTCAGACCGATCCCTGAAAGCTTGACTAGCACATAACTTTTTGATTGTTTTACCCTCTATCTTTTATACTATGGTTTAGTTTGATATCTACAGCTGCTCGGCAGGTCTACGGGTAGTATCAAAATTGAAACAAAGGTGTATGTCATTAATCAATGAATATTTCATAATTGACTATAATCAAAACGGAGTTTCGTTTGATCAATTTGACTATCATTATATAATGACGCGATTGCCAATTGACGTAAGAAACGCCATAAATTATACCGGGAAAGAATAAAGATGTACATTGTAATATAAATATTATTTATACATC